CCTTCGGCAAGTCAAAACCGTGCGAAACCCACGCCACCCACACATTTCTACGTTTCCGCACAACACGCCCCACTTCATCTGCCGCACCTTGCCTCCCCTCCCCGCCCCGTCCCACCTATAAACTACCAGCATTAATATTGTTTTGTGTGCGAAAAAGCAGCCAAAATTACGACACTTGAGTGTGTTAAAAGTTGAGCGAGCTGCTCGCTCGTTCGCTCATTCATTCGCTCGCTCCACAAATCGAAAAGTAAAAGAAAAGAAAAAGTGAAAAGTGGCAGAAACTTGTAGAAGGAGCACGCAAAACAGCAAAAGACAGCAGAAAAGTTGGCAAGACTGGTAACGGTGTCGAAAGACGTCTTGCTTGCCAGTCTAACGGCGAGGCACCGACACACAACCAGTGGCACCGCCTCTCACATACCGAACGCCGGGAGCAGTCTTTTTGATAGCAATGCTGAGCTTCTTCGTCCCCTCCGGCAATACACCACGCACCCCCGCTGCTTCGTGACTCCGTTGTGGGCCGCAGTTTGTTGCTTTTGCTACTTTCGCCAGTTTACACGCACCGCTGGGATTGCATAGTGGAAAAAGGCGAAAAAGTTACCATGATCCATTAACGTTAATTGTTTGGCGGCGTTAGCGGCAGGCGGGTGAAACAGCTTGCCTGGGATTTGCCCGACACGCAGCCTGCAGTATACAGTTCCAGAATACAGCCAGCCAGTTCCATCAGCTCGTACAAGACCAACAACACAAAACAAAACAATGAACCACCGAAATGGAGGCGGGCAACCGGTCTGATAAGGTGTGTATTACAATGACAGCGTGAAAGTTTCCAGCAGCGCGCCCAAAATCCCGCAGTCGACAGTCGGCAGTCGACAGTCGAGTGCAGACAGCAAGCAACAGACAGCAGTCAGGCAAACACATATACAGATAAAAACACACACACAAACACACACACACACACACACATACATATATAGTTTACTAAATTCAATTAGAGCTGCTCAAATTGGCATGCGCACACCTGTCATTGGGCTTGATAATGATGCATGTGGCGCGCAGGCCACGCCACCAAAACTTTGTGGCAGCAACTTTGTCCTGCATTGTCGCCGCTTTTAAAGCGGGCCAAACTTGCGCTAATTTTTAAGTCAAACTCCCCGACACTTTGGCATGCCATTTTTAAGTAATTGAATGCTCGCACACTCGCACTTCAAAACACACACACACACACACACACAAAAGACACACCCACACACACACACACACAGACACACACACTAACTAAATCAATTAAAGTTATTCAAGCAAAATGAAACTTCCGAAAGAAATCGAAAAGTTGTCTGAAGAAGACACCATATAATAAAATTAAATGAAATAAAAATAAGAGTAGATTGCAAGCCGGAGCCAAACGGCTTTTCACACTTGTTAATCACATTTTCGCGTCTTAAGTAAATAGCAGGCAGCACCCGCAGGCCCAACTTATTGTAATTAAGCGGCTTAGACGTCGGGGGGTCTCGTGAGCACAAAAGCGTTGCCTGCTTTTGGGCGCAGCCTCAGCCCAAGGTCGACATCATTGTCGGCGTTGTCGACTTTGGACGCCCGATGTCTTTAGAGGGCAGTTTATCGAATTAAAAAAAAAAGAAGAAGTGCCCAACTGAAAGAGACGCAAGTTTGGGGGCCAAGTAGGGGCCAAAACTCACACTTCATTGTGCGCTGGGGGAGGCACACAATAAAACTGAAGTGGCCACGAGTAGGCTGTCCGCCCCCACAAGGCTTTTGTATGTATATGTATATGTATATGTACATACATATTTTTACTTATATATATATATATATATGTATTTGATGGTGGTGTGAATGGGCGGTCATGTGCACCGCCACAGCCTCAGCAAAAGTTGGCATAATTATTTCATTAACACTTAACAAGTGGCCCAGTCGAGAGCCGGCGCCCAAGTCCAACACTGTGCATGGGACGCAAAAACTTTCACATTACGCATTTGTGTGCAATTTTCAAATTAACAATTGTTAATTTTGTTCTTGTTACTTTCTCGTTTTCTTTTCTCTTATGCGGGCAAGTAACACAACGTAGCAACAAAAATAAAAAGAAGAAATTACTTGACCGTTTGCCTTTTATAAATACATTTTTCTCTTCATTTTATTTTTGTATTTTTTTGGTTTCGTTGTTATTTTTTGCTATGTTTTCCCTCACACCGTGAGGTCGGTTGGACTTGGACTTAGACTTTTTCGTTAATTTTTTCTTACCAAGTTTTTATTGCGTGTTTAGCATAATTTTTTAATAATTACATTTTTGTGTGTTCAGTCCAAAAAAGTGAAAATAATAAGCAACCAGCAGCGGTTAGAGAGTGCAGCGGAAGGCGTTCCTCTTTGTGCCCTGTCTTGTCGTTAGCGGTACGCAAAAGTTAAACAAAGTTTATTTGCATTACTGACAAACTGTTTAATTAGGGATTTTCTCTAGATTTTTCAAATAGCAAACTTTTCGTCCTCTTCAGATTTCAATTGCTGTCTTTCCCCCTCTCTCTCTCTCTCTCTCTCTCACACACTTTATGTGTTTATTTTATTCTTTGTACTTGTATATCATTAACGAAAATACAATTAAACATAACAATGGAAAGTACAAATACAGACACACTCAGCATAATATTGTTATTTCAAGTTAAAAAGATCACATATTACTGACTAATTCAATTCAATATATGTTTCATTTATTTACCTGTCTAATAATGCCTATAAAATTTCAAAATAAGTTTATTTTGACATGTGGCATTGGCAATAGTGCAACTAAGTGCTAAGAGCAAAATAGCAAATGAACTTTAAAACCCTCTGGCCTTGTTGCACAAAAATATTAACTGGCAAAGCGTAATTGAAGTATTTATTCAGGCATAATCATGAAAAGAAATTGACGAGTATAGCTGGGAGCGATAATTATAAGCAGGCAGATAAATCCACTCGCGTCGTACGGTCTATCAAACTATGCGATAACCATTCAAGCATCCGCTCCTGACCAGGCAAGTTGAGCTGCCAGCCAGCCATTGGTACACATCACTGTAGTTGTTAATTAATACGAACACATTTTGTGGCCCATTCCGGCAAGGCGGACAACACGAGGCACACGCACAGTCGAATGCTCTGAGGTTTGCTTGAGTAGACCTGATTGCAGCTGTGTCAGTTGCGATTTTGCCAGCTGCTGCTATTGCCTTCTGCATATTTATGCTGTTGGCCAAATCTTGTGTGTTTTATTTCTCATCTCATGGCCATTGCTATTGCTGTTTCTGGCACGCAGATTTGGTCGGTACACGCAGCTAAGCAGCGGTGCCACAGACGAGCCCGTCAACGCCAAACAACGTCGTCATGCCGTTTCCAATTGCTGGGTGTGTGTCTGCGGGTGTGTGTGTGTGTGTGTGTGTGTGTGTGTGTGTGTGTGTGTGTGTGTGTGCATGGTTGTGGTAGTCTGTGTGTTCCCAGCCAGATGTGTGTTGGTGAAGTGCCAGAGATGGAGAAGCAGACATCTCAACCAGAATGAGCCACGTCAAGTGAGTTCACAATTTTGCGTGCTACCATTTTTCTTGTATTCGTGATGCCAGATTCTCTTTCTCTCTTTGCTACAGATAATCCTTGGCATGCAACGCCTTTATCCTGTTAGCCTTCTGTTCTTCCTTGTTTCATATTGTGCTTTACTTCTCTGTTCTACCCTCTGGTACTTTTTTTTCTCTCTACAATATACCCTGTAAATGCTTGGAAGACCCATCTTCAATTACAAAATAAGGTTTATGTACTTTCATTTGAATACAGGGTATTGCCCAGACGAATACTCTCGAATATATATTTATGTTACTTTTTTTTGCTTGTTATTTTTATATAGCCCGCTGATTTCGCTACTTAATTTTTTCGCCCTTTTTTGCCTGGCGTCTGTGACTGTAACTGTAACTGTATCTGTATGTGTATCTGTATCTGTATCTGTATCTGTTTCTGTATCTCTGCTCGTATTCGTAGCTGTATCTGTGTCTGCGTGTGTTGCTTCCGCTCTTGTTGCGCTGATTGGGCGTATTTTGTTGTTTTCATGTTGGTGCAACGCAGCCTGCCTGTCTGCTTCGCTGTCAGTCAAGCCAAGTCAGAAGACGTCCAGATAGCCATTCTCGTTCTCGTTCTTGTTGTTGTTTTTTGTTTGCTTATTTTTTTCTTTTTTCATTTCTTTTTTTCCACCACGTAATTAAAACTTGAAACGCATATGAATTAGAAAAAAATAAGGCAGCAGGATTCGGAACGAACGCGTTTTATGGCACAGGCTGCCAGCCAGCGATTCCATCTGACATCGTTAACATTGCTGATTAAGTTTCTTGTCCTGTGCCACTCAACGTGATTTGAAATAAAAATTCTACCGGCGCCAGCAGCTCCATTCGCTTGTGAGCCCCAACATTAACCCGTTGATGCATTACTGGCTTTTATTAGCTTGGCTTTATTTTGTTTTAACTAAAGGGCATTTTAAACATTGAGATTGTTATACATATCACGGGAGCGTATCCATATCGAATTGGTCCATATCATCTGAACCCAAATCCAATAAATTCACCGAATCCCAATTCATCATATCTAGAGCGCCCACCTTCAAAGCCGCCAAAGCCACCAAAGCAACCAAAGAAACCAAAGCCTTGACAACGTACTCACTCAAGAGTGTCCTCTTGCTGTGACTTGTCCTCTTCTGCATTGAATATTACACGCTCCTGTGAATCAGCATCCGCTTATCCATCCAAAGCCAACTAGAAGCATACGTCAAACACAGACAAATTGTGGCGCGCTTCTTATGGGAAATCTTTGGCGCTCCAGTAGTAATAATACACTTTAAGACCCGGGCTGACTTTAAGGCATTTATGTTAATTTGTATTTAGATGTCACTAAACAGGTTTTATATTGTTATAATAAAATTGCTACAAATTGAGTTTTTTAACTGCTTTTGATCTTATCAAATACATACAAAAAATTTGTGTCATTTAGCCAAAAAATCCAAATTGCTGCGGAAAACGACGACGGCCACCTCTAAAAGGTAACCGGCCACCACGGAAAGGTAACCTGCCGCCACCAAAGGGTAACCGTTGTCGAAGCCTTCCAAATCCGCCACCGCCGAACCGCCGAGCATTGCCTAACTGCCTGGCGAAGCGTAAAGCCGGCATCTCCTGCTGATCCGTTGTCTGATTTACATCCGCCAACAGTTGCTTCAGTTGCTTCATTTCCGCTCGTGGAGTGCGAGTGCTGGTGCTGGTGCTGGTGCTGGTTGCTGCCAACATTGGCAAAAACAAAGCACTTAACACTATTAGATATAAATGAAAAACGCTCATTGCTCTTTGCTATGGGGAACCGCGTCAGCAATACTAAAACGAGCACAATACCCGACCTGACTCTTTATATAGAAACGCAGGGGCATGACTGTTAATTCTTAACGAGCTGCTGACCCTTTCGAGCAATTAAATTTCCTGAGCGTAATCAAATGGCCAAGAAAAATCCCCTAAAAGTGCCTGAAGCGAATATCAGCTTCCTTCTAAATAGACTCGTGCTGCTGCTGTGTTGCTGCCAAAATCAACAAAAAGCTTGCCGCATGACATATATAACCTGTTCTGGGACTGAGTCGCTGCTAATTATGTCGTAGAAATGAGGAGAGCAACAACAGTAGCCAGAGCAATAACAACAAGCAGCTCAGTACATGGACCACTAATCCAATTATGCGTATACGCAATTTCATTGTCAGCATTATGCCAATTCTAATGCTCATTAAGAGATTTCGTGTGCACAGGCCGCATGTAAGTTGTTTACAATTTCCAAAGCCAGTCCCCGAGAGCCCTCGAACGCAAATGATACATGCTTACAAACAGACGTACTCGTATTTATAAGCCATAAATAACGTGTAAACAAAATGCTGCCACAACAAGCATACGCCCTGTGGGCGATATCAGGCAGCTTTGGCTGCCACAACAAAGCCAGCAATAGCTTCAACAGCAACAGCAACAGCAATGGCAACAACAACAGCAACAGTATCGCGGCCAAATTATAAGCCTATAAAAGGCAATAAAAAACTTTGCGATATCAAATTACAACGCCCTCATAAAGTTATAAAAGTTTCAAGCGTATCCAACAGCACGTTTTTTCCTCCGCCCCATTTCCCGAAATCGACTCCAGTTTCTGGCCAGGCCTAATATTTTCAATAACAAATCAATCAGCTGCTGCTGTTGCTGTTACTGATGCTGCTTAAGAGACCTTCTCGGCCAACAAGGATAATCAGTTAGAACGGCTTTTGGCTGATGCTGTCAGCTGCTTGGGCCCCGTCAAGGCAAACGTTTCCAGTATTGGCATAGAGGTGCTGCAGATTTATTGAGACACGCCTTCAATAAAATATATAACATGGCGAAGTAAAAGTCAAGCTACTTTCACACTCTAACGCCCAAGGCCAGCTATTTACATATAGAGTCTTGTTTGTTATCAACTTTTAATGTCGCTCAAGAATATATAAACAATTTGTATTTTTTCAAACATGGTCTTAGCTGCATATCAAGCATTTATTCATGAAAACTTTCAGAAAATGTTGCTTGATAATGCTTGCCATAGCTTCAATAAGAAAGAATTTTTTTGCTCCTCAAAGCAGCCGTCGCACATCGAGCTGTGAAAAACTTTTAAAAATGTGAGTGGGAGGACGAAGGCACTTGGACGTGGAGGTAACCGGACAGCCTGTGCTTGTGTGCGTCGTCCTTTGATAACAAAAGGCGTAAGTTTAAAGCCGAGTTAATTTTTTAACAATAAAGTACGCTTGTCAAAATAAGAAATTTAATAGCCGACATTTAATCTTTATCGACAAACGGCTGCTTGGAAAAGTCAAGAGGCCATTTAAGACTGAAACTGAGATAAGGTGCAATTTATTTTATTGTTATAAATAGCAGCATTTATTTAATTTTGGGGTACTCGAAGTATTTCTAAGCCGAACGAAATGAACAAAAGCAATTGTCTCAAATATGCTTCAGCTTTGCTGCTAGACAGCTGGAAGTCCTACTTTAGTTCTATGTATTTTAAGTCAAAAACAAATTCAATTCACTGAATGTTGCTTCATTTTTCGACCACACACATGCAATTGTTAACAGCAGCATCATAGGTTCTTTGGCCAAGTTGTAATGGCCAAAAAGTTTGTGCTCACATCCAGAGGATCTAAACGTCATGGACAGGCAATTTATATGAATTCGGGAACACTCTGGCTAAACGTTAGGAGACCATAAAACTAGAAGTGGTTTGGCTAAGGTTGCGTAAACTTTCGGCCAGGCATAAACATAGCAGCACTAGCACTCCCAAATTAAATGAATACACAGCGTACCCAATTTTGTATTAACTGTCTAGCTGAGCGTGAACAACAACAATAGCATGGTCTATAATAATAACGGAAACTTATTAGACAGCCAGACAAGCCCGTTAAGTTTTACCCCAGTTCATTGGTGGCAGCTGGTCAAGTGCTTGCTAAACTGACTGCCAGCAAGAAACTTCAACATCTTCCACATGACTCCTGTCAAGATAGGTAGCTTTGAGAATAAAATCAAAATAATTATGATTTCAAGCTAAAACTAAACTTGCAATGGAGTACATTGTGCACAACCGACAAACTGGCTTAAAATAACTCTAATAACGAAGCTCAATTTTAAATAGGTCTTTATTATATATATAAAGTTTTGTTTGTTGGCCTTTTATGGCTTTCAGACGTCATCCAGCTGAAATGAAACTACTTAGTATAAAAGCTGTCAGAAGCAATACTGATTTGATAACAGTTTGGCCTTTAAAATACTGAATACTGAATTTAAATTCAGAAACATGATTTTTGCTCGAAATTAATGTAAGAATGGCAACCTATAAAATCGCTTGCAAGAATATCTCAATATTTTCCATAATTTTATGACGCACTTTTTAAACAAATTTTTATTCAGACAATTTGCTAATTAAATTGTATTTTGTGTGTGAGATTGAAACAAGAGAAACAAGTCAAAGAAAATGAATTCGCCGTCTGCAGTAACAAGGAATTAATCGTTTTCAGGCAGTTTTCAATTCTTATAACCACTTCTTATACTTATACAATTTGTTCTTTTATCACCAAAATGATATAGAAAAATCATTAGCATTAATAACATAAAAGGCAGTCCATCGCCTCTTTATATTTGATTTCTTTGCAACGCAAAAACAAATTAATTTTCTTTCATTTGGCACTTCGAACTTCAGAAAATAAGACAAAAATAAACCTATTAAAAGCATTTTGTATTTTTTATGATTATTTAAACGGGCCACGCAATTGGAGAGTGTCCCAACTCGCCTGAGGCAGCAACAACAACGTACCTAAAAAAAAGGGGGCCACAAAAAGGGAGAATAAATTTTTCGCCCACCTTGCAGCTGTCATTTGCGCTTTAAAAACTGTTAAATGCCGATTTTATAAAATTGTAAAACGTGAGATATTTAACAGAGACTGATTATCTGCAAAATAGATTCATTTTTTAACATAAGTACTACATTTATCGATAACTAACCGCGTTTCGCGAATATCGATACCTATCAAGCTCCGATAACATTACAAACCACAATTTTAAAGGCTTTTGCAAATTATTATATAGTTGATAATTGTATTAGGATCGGATAAGAAACACTGTCTTCGTTTGTTTTAGTTTTCTGTACCTGGATTGGCTCGAGAGTCCAGGGTATCTCCCAGTCGAGCTCTCTCACCTACATCATTCTTACCTGTTTCCACTCTCTTAGTTTTATTCACTTTTGCTGACCTTTTTTTGGCAGACCACAACTTTCATGCACTTTTAATTTAAGCTGATTTTTTACGGTGCGTTAATTTATGCGGCGGCTGAATGCGGCCCTATAGGATCGGCTTGCAAACAATTGGCTTGGACTCTGGAAAATGTGCAGCAGCGATGTTCAATTAAACCACAATTTGAACTGGCTAAAAGCGTTTTAATTTGAACAAACAACGACATGCTGGACTTTAAATTTCTCAGTCTTGCATAAATTAATGAGTATGATGAGAATTTGGATTTGGCTTAAGCCACAAGAATTTTGCAAGAAATAAAGAAGAGAAAGCATAGCACACAGAACGTGGCACACGCGACGAGCGGCTAAGAGGCAAAGAGGCATAGAGCCATCGAGCATTGTTAATGGTCGAGCCGCGCATAAAACAAACAGCTAGCCAAACAAAAGCAAACATGCGAACAAACAAACTGGCAAATAGGCAAACAACAGCAACAATAACAGCAACACCGACACCAACACTAACATGAACGAACACCAACAAACAACGACCACAACAACAATAACAATAACAACAACAACAACAATAACAGCAACAAACAACAAACAGCAATTTACACTTACGCACCAAAAGTTGAAGCTTATGACGTGTGCATGTGTGCGTGTGTGCGGTGTTGTTGGTGTTGGTGTCGGTCCAGGGGTCTTGGCCTGGTCAATAGCATAACCAACCTTCAAATGAAATTAGCACATTCACACAGCTTACCTGACCGCAGGCACCACTGGAAAGAGAGGCACCAACTGAAGGTGCAAGTTGAAGTCGAAGTTACTTTTGTCCCCACCCACCACTGCCACCACTGCCACCTGTCCGCAAAGTGAAATGTTTTGCTCTTTAAACATCCACTGAGCCATTCGATTTCATGAACGCCACTTAGCGTGTGGCCTAATGGCGTTGGCAATAGCCCTGCTACAAGTACCTAGTAGCTGGTAGATGGTAGCTGGTAGCTGGTAGCTGTTGCCTGTTGGCTGTTAGCTGGTCATATGAATTGGCTTTTTGTTCCATTTTGGCCGCAATCGCATATTTAAATAGTTTGTTTTATGACGTTTACATTAGCGTCTCATTTTGCTAACAAGCAAAAAAAGAGAAACAAAAGTTTCTATTTTATGCGCAAAGTTCTTAAGCTATAAATGGGCAAAACGTTCGCTGGCCAGGTCACAGTTGGCCGCACGACACCAGAAACGCAACCACAACAGCCACCGCAAGGCGCACGGGTGTTATCCACATACATACCTCCCCCAAACAATACAGCTATCCACAAATATATATTAGCTCAAGTTCAAGCAGCTCGCTAGGTAAACAGCTTAAGGAGTACCGGCAATATGCGGAACTGCGCCTCCCTTGGATTATATGCGCTGCTAATCGTCGCCTGCTACTTGGACGCAACAGTTGGCCAGCCCCTCAAGCAGGATGAGGATCTGCCGCAGGCACAGACGGCCAGCGGAGCACGTTTTGCGAGACAAATCGGTGGCTATGGAGGCTACGGAGGCTACGGTGGCTATGGTGGCTATGGAGGCTATGGAGGCTATCCGAATTATGGCGGTGGATATGGCGGCTATGGCAATGCATTAGGTGGCTTGGGCGGCGGCTATGGCGGCGGCTATGGCGGTGCCATTGGCGGTATTGGAGGCGTTGGAGGTATTGGATATGGAGGATATGGAGGCTATGGAGGCTATGGAGGCTATGGAGGATATGGTGGATACGGTGGATTAGGCGGATATGGAGGATATGGCGGATATGGCTCACGTTATCCTTACTCATCATATGGGGGATATTATAATCGCCCTTATGGTGGTTATGGTGGTTACGGCGGCATCGGACTTTCACCATTCATGTAAAAAATCAACTTGTCAATCGAAATATATATGTATATAACTTTTTGATGTAAAACTACGTTGAAATGTTTGACTTTGTCTGCTTTTCGCTGGGTATTTACCCAATGTCCAGCTGAGTGTATCTTTTAGACTTGTTCCTTTGACTCGCTTTATTGCTCTGCGACTCAAAACGATAATCGCTTTCATTCATTAAAAGCTCGTGTGGCTCACCTCATTATTTGCCAACCTGAACGTTAACAAGTGCACTCAGTTGTGGCACACAGAACACGATAGCTACAGCTTAAGCAAATAGCACTGTGTGCCAGCAGGTTACTTCGAGGATGGGAATGGGGTACGTGGTTGCAGGGCCAGACAGGACATTAAGAGCTGCAACCTTTTTAGATTTTAATTACCGATACTGCGACAGTGCACTGTCAGCAAGACTCCAGCAGAGCGTCATTATCTTGTCGTTGTAGTGCCATTTAATTATAGTGACTTTAAACAAGTCGCATTGCTCATACGCACCGTTGCACAGCCTTGTCTCGCTCAGTGTAGGTAAACACAGTTGGTAAAAGCCAGATGAACCAATTGAAAAATAAGTAAAATAGCGACTAGTGCCAGACTCTATGGGTATTGACAGATAAACGATACCCTCACTAAATGATTGCAGCCAGAGGTTCTAAAATGTCACGAACGTTCAATACAGAAAATAGTTCAGTCAAAAAGTGTGCTAAACATTTCAATTTATCAAAATGAAAAATTAAATTTATAACGTATCTAAATTCTAAACTATCCTTTAGGTTGCCCTATTTTGTGTTGAAAATATATTTAAAAAAAAAATATTTGCAATTAGTTGCCTCGACACGCCACTTACAAATAAATACTTTGTGCGCAATTTTTTAACGCCATGTCCAGTGAATGGTCCATTCATGTGAGTTAACTTTTTATATATGTGAACGTATTTGTTTATCAACGGCTTTCAAATGCCCTCGCCGCCTGCTGTGTTTAAAATGGCAATCAGATAACACCTTTTTACCCTATTCAAAGGTAGCAGAGTGGTCCCTTTTATAAAGCTTTGAGTTGCTGCTGCATTGAAAACATTCTACATTTGCTTTTTTGTGCGTTGCTAACCAGAAAGATGAAAGCCGAAAAAAAAACTAAGCTGGAATTGCGTGGCTCACTGGTTCACTGGCTGACTGACTGGCAAACTGAATGGCTGCTGTGGTGCTGATAGACTGTATAAGCTTTATACATTCTTACGGTATATGGCCAACGGGTGGCTTTGGACTGTTTGCTATTTGTTAACACGGAAGCTTGTACAAAGTAGCATTAGGTAAAATGTATTGGCATTCGAGACTTAAGCCTTTCAGAGTTTACTATTGTATATTAGGCAAATTTTTACATTAGGATTTCAGTGGAAAAACAATAATTTGGATTCGCATTTGATACATACACAAAATAAATGCTTAATGCCTATAAGTTACTTCAATGCCTAATGCATCAAGAGACCTTGTGCAATATTAATATTGTAGGGTATTAAAACAGATTGGCCGTTAACTGATGGCACAACAGACAGGTTAAGATGAGAAGAAAGCGGTCGAGGTCAGGCCTCAACCAAAAACCTCGCACCCTTTGAGCGTGCAAATGCGCAAGCAACAGTTGTGTTTAGTTTTGAAAAGGACCGACCAAGGAGCTGATGCAGAAGCTCATACAAAGACAGCCCAGTCCGCAAGCAAAGCCGTAGCCAAACAGTTTAAAGCGCATTAAATTTATCTGATGGCTGATGGCTGATGGCTGTGTGTTGGATAATACATTGGCTGGCAGCCATTGGCCACTTGGCTTATCAATGCATTTTAAACGAGCGGCTCGTAAGCTGAATGTCGTTCAAATTAATGACAAATTAATATTAACAAAGCAATCGGCCATCACCCCGAAAACCAAACAAACCACAATTTACGTATACAACGGTGTCCGGCCAGTCAGCGATTTGGCTGGAATGTTACTTAATTGGAACTTAATGTGCATGGAATTGTTTACAAGTAACGCTTCGCAGCCAGCACTGAACGGGAACAATCAAGCAATGGCCCTTGGATAAGCACAGTGGCGACAGCTTTGAGCAACACTTCAAACGCTGAGGGTATGGGGAGGCTTAGAGAAAGAAAAATGCGTTTTAAAGTGACACTTGATGTAGGTAATGCGACAGCATAACAAGCCAAACAGCGAAACACAATAAAACGAAGTGAAATAAAAAAGTCCGCTCCTCGGACTGTACAATGCCCTTCCGCAAACACAAAAAGTACGCAAACAGTAAACAATTTAAGCATTCCTTTTGTTTCCATTACAATTTCAAGGAAGGAAGAAAACTTACACAATACAAGTGCACAATCAATAGACGGCCAAATTGGATGGCTGTGCCGCATATATGCACAATTAATATGCCATGCATTATATAGGCCATTAATAGCACTGGACAAACGCATCATGCCCTGCACCTACAGAAACTAGCATAAGAGGTATGATATAGTTGTGCAATTGCATTGGCGATTCTTGAAGCGTGCTATTTAACAAAGACTAGCAGTTACTATTGACAGCATTTGCTTAATGCAAATTATACAGGATATCTCAAGGTCGATCACATAAAAAGCAGTCAAGGTGTTTTGTTCCTTTTCTCTTTTTTTTCGTACAGAAATTGCAGAGCAGGGCTTTAATTTGTGCGAGATGCTCCCACTCATCAGATGGATAGCGAATCTGAGGGGGGAGAGGGAGTACATTATCTTAAGAGCTGCTCCTCGTTTGCTGTTACAATAAGTCCATGCGCTGCTGCGCAGTCGGCGTCGGCTTCGCAGTCAGAGACGCCACCATCAACGCTGTCCAGCGTTGACAGCTGTTACAGCTGCAGAAATATGCAAATTGGAAGGCGTTTTAATAGATAAAGAGCAGCGTGCCGCAGCCGCCCCCACGCAAAGCATAAGACGAAAAAAGGACACCAATGCACAATGGTGGAAAATGTATAAAAAAATTCTTAAAATATAAAGAATTTATATATATATTCTTGAAGAGCAGCAAAGTAGCCATAATAACGCCTTTGTTGCACATTGTGAAATGAAGTGATTAAAGCTCATAATCCCATTTGCATTAAATGGCTGAGCGAACATCGCAGCGAGCCATTTAAGAGTTATGGCACGGCATTAAAGATCAATAAAGATTTTAAATTGAAACCATTTATAAATGCTCATGTTCTTTAAACTAATGGCATACGAATACCATCTTTTTTTCTTTATTTCATATTTCGGGTCTACTTTAAACTAAGTAGTACAAGGCATATTTTGCCCATCGTTCCCCATTTCCCGTTTTTTGTTAGCCGTTTAATATGTGAACGTGTGGGTGTGTTTCGCTGTTCTTTTTATTTTTTTTTGTTTTTTTTTGTTTTTGTTTTTTTTCTCTTCTGGAGGGAGTCTGCTGTGTTTGGGTCTGCTGACTGAATGCCGTTGACACTACGCACAGCACGCAGGCGGCAAATCAACTTAAAATGCAAAATAAAAATGCTAACTTTCGGTCGTTTGTTATTTACGCCGAACACAAACTGTAGTTAGTTGCGTTGTCATGGCCCGGCCGGTTCAAGTTGAGTCGACTCGAGTCGAGGCTCACGCCTGAAGAGCCGCGCCCCGCATCCGAGTCCGTGTCCGTGTCCGTGTGTCCGCATCCGTGCCCAATCCTGTTGCGCTCTTTACGCTCTACAGCTCCTTTTTACGCCAAAGCGATGCGTTGTTGTTTTTTGGGGTGCCCGCTTAGATGCCCTTTTTTTGTTGTGCTGTTCGCATACTTTTTTGTTTTCTTTTCTTTTTTTGTTGTTTTTGCTGTTGTTGTGCCTTAACACTAAATTGACTTTTAATGCAAAATAAACCAAAATAATGTATTGCGTAATTTTCTTTAAAGAATTTTTACATTAGCATTTCAAAAGAGATTTCTCTACTCTGTTTTCGCCCTCAGCGTTGAGCGCTGTCTTCGTTACCTACCATTACCCCGTCCTCGCCCCAGCCCATGCCATTTTCCCTCTCTCTCCTTTGATTTCAGTTGTCCATTTTGTGCGAAACGCAAAAGGAGCAAGGGCTAAGGGAAAAGCACCTTTCCTGATGCCTGGCTAAACGCGACATTTAATGTTGCGTGAGGATAATCCAATCTGCTTGACATGAATTTTAATTTGCATTGAGTAATTAGCCGGAGTTCATTTGCCTGGACAGTGAACGATACGAACAAGAGCTACGTTCAAAATAGAGAGAGGAAAAAAGAAACCTACAACAGTTCCAGTTAGCCATCGTCAAAGTCGTTGTCGTCCAGCAAAATGCTAAATAGAATTAGTCTGAAGTCGCCTCTTTTGCTCTTTTCTCTTTTCTTTTTCTTTTTCTTTTTTATTCTTATTTTTATTTTTTTTTTGTGTGTCTGCTACTTTGTCTGGTTCAAGGGGACACACACATACACATACAAACAAACGTTTGGTTGATTTCGTACAAATTGAACTAATTTTGCTTTCGGGGCCAAAACCTGAAATTTTCTTTCGGTTGGCACATTTGCTGATTACGCTCGTCCTGCTCGTCAGTCAGGCAATTGAAACAAACAATAAAACGTGCGCTTTTCTTAATTCAAAACAGCCGGAGTACGAAAATAAAGGCACTTTTGACAGCAGAAACAGAAAAAAAAAAAACAAAAACGTAGAAAATAAAAGAAAAAGAAAAACAAAAACAATCACCAAATAAGAGATTGAATTTCTGCTTCTCTGCACTTTAATTTGCGTGCTGCAACCCAAAAATACACACGCGTTCGTCGAAATATCACGCATACGCCGCGTATTTTGTCACAAAATATGTATGCATGTGAGCGGGCTTACACATAAACAAACGCAATCAATGCACAAATATTCCACAGAGTAGACAGGAAAATAATAAATAAATGCATAATGGTTTGCAAATGACAAAATATTGCAGCGAAAATCGACAAAATATTAACACACACACCCACACACACAC